TAAAAAGTTAAAGTAAATAATTCCTTCTTTAAAAGTTCTGGAAGAGCCTCAGAACTGCTGTAATGATTGCTTTGCTGGACTCCCATGTATTTGACCACCGTTTGAGTCCCAGACCTGGCAGCACATGTGCATGCATACCCGAAATCCCAAGAGGAGAACGGAGAAGGGATTGAGGCATGGCCATAACCCCCTGGGGGATGATTTCTTGCTCTCTGTCTGGCGAGGGCATAGCAAAAATCTCTTTTAAAAAATCCGCAGTTTTGGAAAAGTGTATCAATTTGGTTTCCAGAGAATTTGACATCCAATTTGCCACACAGAATGCCCGTAGATCTCTGCTTACCAGCCTTGGTAGGAAGGACAGGGCCGGCCACAGGGACTGCAGCCTTACCTAGGACTTTTCCAGAGGCCAGAGAGGTACTGCCAGGGCCCTGGACTCAGGGTTCCGAGGCAGGAGAGGACAAGTGAAAACAACTTGCTGATGCCAGCCCTGTGTGGCTCCAAGTCAGGACCAGAAGGAAAGTTGTGAGGGGAGTTGGCTGCTCTCTTTGGAGTCAGAAAGGTCATTGCTCAACTCCTTGGATTTTCCATCACAGCCGAGCAGAGAGAGGGTCAGGCGGGGAATGTTTCCTCTGAGCAGGTCCTTTTAAAGCCTCTTGGCTGGACCGCTCTCTCTAGAGCCAAGGAAGCAGTGTGGGTGGACTTAACCCCTTCCCTCCCAAAGAATTCTCCCACAGATAGGTGAGCCTGGAAGTCCAGACTCCTGAAAGGCAGAGCTGCTTAGGGCAAGAGGCCTAAGGAGCCGTGAACTCTGGCTGGAGAAACCGTCCCTCTTGCCTTGTTAAATCCAACAGGCATAATTGCATCCTGCTGACCTTAATTCCCCTGGCTGGTTTAATTGGTCCTGGCATTGCCCCACTTCCTGCCCTGCCCCTGTAGAGGCAGAGTGTCTGTGCAGCTGCTGTGGCCGGGGAAGCCCCTTCTTAAGGGTGGGCAAGGGCTCTGGCAGCCCCTAGCTGGGAGGAGGAGGTTTCCCGGTGCCCCACCCCTGTGCCTCCAGGGGAGCACTGAGAGGCTTGGGGACTCCCGGAGAGCAGCTGGCTGGAGCAAGCAATCCTGTGGATCCGGAACCAGGCCAGCTCCCATCCCTGCAGGAGGCACTGCAGGGAGCCTGCAGAATAGCTGAGCCCTCTACCTGGGCTGTCCACGACTGCACTGGGCCCCACAGTGCCACAGGTACTGGGCCAAGCTCTTTGTGTCCATGCGCTGACTGGTGCTCCCAGCCACCCTGTGAGGGAGGCGATCGGGCAGAGTGGTTATGAGCCGAGCCTCGGGTTAGTTGGATGGTGCTGGTTCCAACTCTGCGTCTTTGCCCTGCGCCTCCGTTCTCTTCTCCTGTGTGAAATGGGGATGACGTAGCTGGCATTTATCCAGCACTTCCTGTGCTCCCAGGGCACTGTTCTGCATGTGTTCTTGGCCTCCCACTGTGGGGCAGGTGCTTGTCTTCCAGGTGAAGACGCTGGTCCACGCTCCTAACCACTACACTGAAGGGTGGCCGTAAGGAATGAATGGACGGTGCCTACCAGGGCCTGGCCCGTTTCAGTGAGCTCAGGAAGTGTTCGTTGTTAGTGTTTGGGAATCTAACCATATCCACAGTAGCGAATACAGCCCCTTATGTTGTCCCAGCCTGGATTCTGGTCTCATCAGGCGCTGGCTCTGGATCGAGATTTGTAGCTGTGCAGTCGACTATGGGGATAAGCCACTTAATTTGTTCAAAGCATCAATTTCCACACTTTAAAATGGTCTCAGTCCTGACCCTTAGAGTACTTTGTGAGGATCTGGTGAGCTTAGGCCTGGTGCTTAGTGGGTGCTCACTCCGTAAGCGTTGGTATTGATAACCACAATAATAACAGGATGTCAACAGGGACCATTGCAGTGAGCTGTCCCCATAAGCCCCAGGCCAGAGTGTTGCTGGTCACTCAGTTATTTACTCATCGAACACCGACTGGCAAGTACACGCCGTGCTGGGCACACGTGTGAACGCCATGCAGCTCCTGTCCTTGAGGGGCTTCCAGACAGTGTCAACCGCCCACGGGATCAGCCTGGGGCACCAAGGCTGGGTTGGGGAGGTCCAACATTTCAACCTGTACTAACATCCAAATAGAGAGCCAGGAGGCCCCAGGCATAGGCGTGGACAGGGACCATCTCAACCTGTAGAACACCATGAGAACCACAAAAGGGGACCCAGCTGGGAGAAGGGAGCAAGGCATAGGCTGGGAAGTTTCAGAAAAGAGTGGACTTCAGATTGTGGAGGATATTCTTGGCTCTGTTCCCTTCCTTGTGCAAGCTGCTCATTGCTTTAACGCTCCTTATCCTCATCCAGAAAATGGGATGAACACTCACCAGGGTGATGCTTAAAGACAGATGGAGAACGCTAGCAGTGCACACTCAGTATGCGGGAGGGAGCCCCCGCCCTGAGTAAAGCCTGGGTTCGGACCTCAGCAGAGCCTAAGACTTTGGGTAAGTCACTTTGCTGTTCCCTGTCTACAATAGCACCTACCTCATGGGATTGTTAGGAAGATTCCCTGAGGCCTAGCATCTGGTGAGGGCTATGTAGGGATTAGTTGTTATTTTTGCTTCCTGGAAGAAGCAGGCTGTAACTGGACCTTGAAGAGGAGAAATGGTGGGGAGGACAGGCAGGTATGAGGAAGAGAGACAGGCAGGCAGGTTTTTGCCAGCTTATGCCACGGACCCTTGACATTTGCTCACATAAAAACGGGGGTGGGGGAGGTGCTGGGAGGTGGTGCAGTGGTTAAGGCACTAGGCTCCCACAGGACTGACTGCTGTTTGGGTCCAGGACCTGGTGTCTTGCTTCCTCATTTTCTCTTTATCTCTCTCTAGTGAGTGCATGTACCCTGTAGTAAATTTAAAATAATTATGATAATAATAAATAAAATTAAATAATTAAAAAAAATTGAAGCCAGCAGGTGGCATGGTGGTTAAGGCACTGGACCCCCATATGGCTGACCATGGTTCAAGTCCCAGACTTGGTAACTTGAAACTCATCCTGGGCATATGTGCATGTGTGCCTAAAATCCCGGGGGGAGAATGGAGAAGAGACTGCGGCATGGCCATTCCCACTCGGGGGCGATTTGCACTTTCCCTCTCACTGTCTCTAGCTCTCTGGTGAGCGCACATATCCTACAGCAAAACAAACAAAACTTTGAAACACGTATTTGAGTGCTCACTTTGGCAGCACATATACTAAAATTGGAACACTACAGAGAAGATCAGCATGCGCCCTGTGCAAGGATGACATGCAAATTCGTGAAAAATCACTTATTTTGAACAGAAATCCATTTACATAGATCACGGTTCAAATAAAAAAATAGGTACATGGTGATATCTCCCTCCCATCTCTGGTTCCCAGTTTCTTGTTTATCCTGCCAAAGTTTTGTTTTGTTTTGTTTTGTTTTGAGTACCAGAGGATGTGCGTGTGGATGCATGAGAGAGAGAGAGAGAGAGAGAGAGAGGAGGGAAGAACCTCCCAATGGGGCCTGGTCATGCCATAATTCTCCATCCCATTAGGATCCTGGGTGTGTGTGCACACCCAGCGTGTTTTTTAAGTCAATGGAGTCGGACTCAAACCCTGGTCAACCACGTGCTTCTGTGCAGTACCTAACTGCTGTGCTATGAGCCAGCCCCCAAAGAAAGTTTTATGTGATAAAGCGAATAATTATGTATTATCCTCCCCCCCTTTTGCACAAATGATCGCATACCCTACAAGCTATTCTGCTCCTTGCTTTTTTTTTTTTTTTTCCACTTTGAAGATCTTATCGGCTCATTAATAGCTTTCTCAGTCTATTTCCTCAGCTGCATTTCCCTCTGTTGCTTAAAGGTGCTGCCTTCTCCCACTCGTCTCATCGCAGGGCAGTGGTTGTTTTCCCCACTGCTGCTTAGAGGACCTGAGGCCATGGTGTTGGAGCAGAGTGACTTGGGCCCCAACCCCAGGTCCCCACTCCACAGCTACTTCCCATGCTCTGACTGGTTCGTAAGGCCCTTCAGAGCAAGGCCCTGGGCAGATAGCCCAGGTGACAGAGGCCTGCAGTGTATCAATAGCTCTCCTGATTCCATCTCAGCGTGAACACCTCGGGCTGGAATGCCCCTCGGGTCACTACTGGGCTAGAGGACCCTCTCTCCCATGGCCACTCTGGGCAGCCTCCGTGTCCCCAGGTGCCCAGGGAAAGCACATTTTCTAAAGAAAATGCTTGCAGGCCTATGGGCATGTTTGAACAAGTGCCTCTGAGACAGTTTCTTACCCAAAGATGATCCAAGTGGATCCAGATGCTGGGGCCCAGAGCTGGGGCCAAGGTGGTCGTCTGTAGGCCTGAGTAGCTCTGCCCAGGTTCTGGGAACCCAAGGAGATGGCACGCATGGGGTAGAGCCAGGGTGCAGCCTGGGCATAGTCCTGCCCTTCCACCCTGTCTGAGAGCCCCTCTTCTTCCAGGCCCCCTCTCTGATCCTGCCCAAGTGGGGGACACTGAGCAAAGCCTGCAAAAGGACTGCCCCCCAGGTGTTCCCTCCCTTTTCTCTTCCTACTTGTTCCAACACCATTCTCCCCCAAGTCAGGCCGTGGGAAGAATGCCGTGTCCTCTGAACAGGGGCCAAGAGTGACAGGTGGTGGCAGTCCGAGCTGCATGGCCCCTGGTGTAAGAGATCCTCTGCTCCGTCCCCGCCTCCACTGCCCGTGCCCCTGCCTCCGCCTCTGCCCACCCGGCCCAGTCCCTTACAACTGCCCCAGGACTGCTCCCGAGCAGCCGCTGCAGGACACGCGGCCACCAGGCTCCCCTTTCTGCTCCAGGTACCTCTCAGTCAGCTGGCCTTGGCCTCCTCTCGCCACAGCCAGACAAGAGGGGAATCCAACAGCATGACACACTCCGCCCTTCTTTCTGCAGCTAGAAAGACTTGAGCTAGACAAGCAGAAGCACACGCCTCCCTACCTCATGGCGACAGAAAACGGAGCAGTCGAACTGGGAATCCAGAGCCCATCAACAGGTGCCAAGCAGGGGCAGGAGAGGGAGGGAGGAGCTTGGGAAGGGGTGTCCGAATCCAGGGTTGGGTAGCTTCCTCTGTGGGAGCTTTGTGTCCAAGGCCACTTTGCACGGTGCATGGCACCCCAGAAATCAGAGCCATCTCTGGTGAGGGTTGGGCTGGGTCCAGGTCTGCAGGAAGGCTTCCCTACAGAGACAGGAAGTGTGAAGCCTCCATGGGTGGCTTTCGAGGACCCACCTCAATACTCTGGGGGAGGGATGATGGGCTCTCATGGCCCTCCCAAAGGCTAAAGGCTGTGCACAGGGACCCTCCATGGTCCCAGCAACCCACTGAGTGGTCCCCAGAGGCTCAGTAGGACGAGTGCTTGCAAGTTGTTGCCTGGATGGGTCCTGGGCCCAGGGCTGGTGTCTGTCCAGTCTGGCTGGGGAGGGGGGAGGGGAAGGCCAGATCCTGATGGGTGTCTCACCTCCTTTGCAGACAAAGCACCTACAGGCGAAGGACTCCCAGCTGCAGAGAAAGACCCTGGTCCCCCAGACCCAAAGAAAGACCCTGGTCCCCCAGACCTAAAGAAAGACCCTGGTCCCCCAGACCCAAAGAAAGACCCTGGTCCCCCAGACCCAAAGAAAGACCCTGGTCCCCCAGACCCAAAGAAAGACCCTGGTTCCCCAGACCCAAAAAAGGACCCTGATCCAGCCACCCTGGAGAAAGACACCAAAGCCCCTGCCAAACAGAAAGGGGACAGTGCCCTAGCCCAACCCTCAACCAACCTTGGGGCCCCCGAGGGCTCCAAAGGAGAGGATGACCAGGGAGGGGGGCCTGCGGAGGGCAGTACTGGCCCACCAGCTGCCCTGCCCCAGCAGACTGCGACGGCCGAGGCCAGTGCCAACAAGCCCAGTGCTGGGCAGGGAACCTCGGGCCACCAGGACCCTGGAGAGCCCAAGGTGGGCAAGAAGGCAGCCGAGGGCCAAGCAGCAGCCAGGAGGGGCTCTCCCGCCTTTCTGCACAGCCCCAGCTGCCCTGCCATCTTCTCGAGGTGAATGCTGCTGCCTGGGAGGGGTGGGGGGCGTTGATTCTCCCTAGGGATCATGCTTAGTTCCCCTCTCTTGGGCAGCCTTGTTATCCTATTGGGTGCTGGGGCAGGCTGACCTGATGTTCAGCTTCCTCTGTTCTGGGCATGGCTTCTCCTGCCTTGTCCCTTGAATATCCCAGGACTTTGTCATAATTCATAGAGGCCTGGAGTGTCAGATGGGAGAGGCCCTCAGAGACTGCCTCAGCTGAACTCCCATTCTCTAAGCATCCGGGTCCAGAGGTCCTCATCACTGAGGTGTCGGCAGAAAGGATAACCTTTCTAGGGGACCAGCAGTTAGCGTAATGGCTATGTCGCTGGACTCCCCTGTAGTCGACCATGGTTCAAGTCCCGGACCTGGTGGCTTAAACTCACACTGGGCGGGTATGCGTGTGTGCCCAAGATCCCAAGAGGAGAGTGGAGGAGAAGGGATTGCGGCACGGCCATCCCCCCGGGGGGTGACTTCTTGCTTTCTGTCTCTCTGTCTCTTTCTGTCTTTCTGGCGAGCGCACACGCCCTATAGAAAAAACCTCTCCAAAGAAAGAAAGAAAGAAAGGATGACCTTTCTGAATATAATTCTGATTACCTTTCTGAAAGGTGACTGGTAACCTTGGTGGACCATTACTAATACTTTCATAACCATAATATAGCACCAGCCAGTCTCGTGATGTAATTGGTTAGAGCTACCTGAACCGAATGAGGTCATGAAGTATCGGAAGCCACAGTAGTAACACTGTATCAATTTGATAATTATATGTTAAATATCAACTATCAATACATCATCAGGCTTTTTATAGATTGAGAGTTCCGTAGTTCCCTTATATGCATTTGATGGTGAATCATATCAACAATCCCACCGTTGGTTATTAGTGACCATTAGCATGCAGATAGTCAAGAGAATGACCACAGCCACCCAGGGGATTAACCCCCTTCTGGTTTTGTACAAAGTGAATCAGATGTGTTACCGCATGCACCAGGGGCAGAGGCAGGTCATGCAATGAGCTCCAAATTGCAGATGAGGTTCTGAATGCACCGAGACCTCCGGAGGCCATGCTCGTTAAGGGCTTCACCTCTGTGTTCTCACCTTCTAGCTCTGAGAAGCTGCTGGCCAAGAAACCCCCAAGTGAGGAGTTGGAGCTCACTTTTGAAGGGGTGCCCATGACCCCCGGCCCCACGGATCCCGGGCCAGCCAAGGCAGAAGGAGAAAAGAGTATTCCGGCTGGAAGCCAGAAGGAAGCAGGAGAGAAAGCCCCAGGCCAGGCTGGCCCAGCTGAGGTGCAAGGGGACACTTCCAGGGGGATCGAGTTCCAGACGGATCAGTCCAAGAGGCCTGAGGTGGGGCAGGCCCTCTGTCTCACAGCCAGGGAGGAGGACTGCTTCCAGATTTTGGGTAGGCCAGGGGCAAGAGGGGGCTGGAGCAGCCCTGGGGGCTGGACACGGGGGCGAGGGTGTTGAAGGGGGCTGTTAGTTCTAAGTCTCCCTGTTCCGAAGGCTGAACTGCCCTGGGTAGTCCATCCCCTAGGCAGGACTCATCTAAGTATCACAGGACCCCAGGAAGTATTCTATCCTGATGAGGAAGGCTTGGGGGGCCAGCAGGTGGCGTGGTGGTTAAGGATGCCGGACTCACACATGGCCAACTGCAGTTCGAGTCCTGGACCTGGCGGCTTGCTTTCTCACTTTCTCTCTTTGGTCAAATTAAAATAAATAAATAAAGTTAAATAAAATACTTATAAAAAAAAAAAAAGGAAAGACTTGGAAAGGGAGAAATGAAGTGCCCAAAAAGAATACAGTGAAGACAGGATTTGAACCTGTCAGAACAGCTTGACCCAGAGCCTGTTTTGATTTTCTTTTATTTTGACTAAAATGGGGTTAAAAGGAAAAGAAAAAAGCGAGCAGGAGCAACATGAACTGGAATTTGCAGGACAGTGGGATTCGGAGTCAGTCTGTGAACGGCTCAAATGCCAGACTTTAGGAGTTAATGTGACATGGGAGTATTGTGGGAGCCATAGAGGGTGCATGGCTGAGGAGCGCAGGTATCTGTGAGTAGTGACTAAGAGCTCCAGGCATGTGAGAGGGGGCCGGCCTGTGGAGCGGCCTTCATTGATGATTAGAAGAGAGCCGGTGCTTTATTCAGTGGGCGGCAGGAGCACTGAGCATGCGTCAGTCAGCCAGTAGGTGACTAGGAAGAGGGCTTGGGCAGGGGTGCGGCGGAGCTAGGGGCGGGGTGAGATGGGGTCAGGAGAGCCCAGAGTGTCCTGCCACCCCCTCCCCCAGGCTGAGGTGCTCTGGGAGACCCGCCAGCCAGCCTGGTGAGCGGCACAGTGCCACCCAGACAGGGTGGGAAGACTCGGCGGGG